TGCCCGCCTTCCACCGGCGCGTGGGGCCCGGAGGCCGCGGCCGGGCTGGGCGCTGCCCGCGAGGATCCCGGGGCGTGGCGGGGCGCGGGCCTCACCTTCGGCCACGTCCTCGTCGATGGCCCCCTTGACCTGCGAGAAGCACCACTGGAAGTCGTTGCCGCCCGCGGGGCAGCCGCCGCCTCCGGCTCCTGCAAACACAACGGGGCGGTCAGACCGGCCGCGGCCCCCGCCCGCCCCCGCGGCCCCCGCCGGCCCGCGCAGGCCCCTCACCTGCCATGACAGCCGGCGGCGGGACAGGCGGGGACCGCGGCGGACCGGAGAGACGGCCTCCGCGCCGCTGCAGCCGAGCGCTCAGCCCCGGCCGGCTCCGCCGCCGCCGCCGCCGCCGGGGACGGATTTTTTTTCTTTTTCAAAATGGCGCCCAATGCCCGTCGCCCTGCTCGATGACGTCATCTCCCTCCGCCTCCTCGGACAGGCCGCGGGCGGGGCGGGCCGCGGGGGCTGCCGGGGGCGCCCACTGCGCCTGCGCGAGCCGACCCCGGCCCTGAGCCAAGCGCCGCTCTGCTCTGGGAAGGGGACGCCTGGGCGGCTGCGGAGGGAAGCTAGGGTCGGCGGGCACAGGCGAGCTCCTCGGCCACCCTCAGTGGTCCGGTGTGCGCCCGGCGCTCCCCTGAGGACTAGCGCTGCCCCTACTCTCCGGAACTCCGGCAGGGCCTCGGCTGCAGCCACACTTATCCGCAGAGCGCAGCTGGGCCGGACACGCCTCCCAGTCCGCGTCGGCCAATGGGAGCGTGGGTTCTCCGCGGAACAGCCAATGGAGGGCGCGCTTGGCAGCGGTGGGCGGAGCATGTGGGCCGGTCTCACCTGAGCGCGCGGCACCTGAGCGCGTCCTCCCGCCCACCGCCTGCTGCCAGAAGCCTCGCTCTGTTACTCCGGCTTGAGTGCAGGGGCGCGATCGCGGCTCCCTACACCCTTGACCTGGACTCAATCCATCCTACTGCTTCAGCCTCGGAAGTAGCTGCGAGCTAATTTTTAAATTTTTTGTAGAGACAGGGTTCTCTCTATGTTGCCCAGGCTGGTCTCGAAGTCCTGGGTTCAAGCCATCCTACTGCGTCAGCCTCCTAAGTAGTTGCGAGTACTCTACTTTTTAATTTTTTTTTTTGTAGAGACGGAGATCTCCCTATGTTTCCCAGGCTGGTCTCGAACTCCTGGGCACGAGCCAACCTCCCACCTTAGTTTCTCGACCCTGTCCACCTCCCTGTGGGAGCGCACCGTTGCCCACCAGATGGCTACCTTACGGGTTCTTGGAGCTTCCGGTGCAGTCTTAAGGAAACACAGCTGATCGTTTCTTCATTTGTGGGTGTTTTTCTCTGGCATACTGAGCGATTCGGGTGCTCCTCAACTTACAGTGGGCTACCCTCCCCGCCAATAAGCCCTTCCTACGTCAAAAATGCATCAAATATCCAATCTACCCATTGTAAAGTTGAAACATCTGAAGTCGAGCTATCGTCAGGAGACTGTCCATATGGGATTGATGTCCCGAATCAGAACTTTTTTCAGGAAAGCTACAGTGGGCACTGATCATATTAAGCCATTAAAAGGCAGTCACTGAAAATCAGGAACATTCATCCACTCCACAAATTTTATTTATTAACAGCTCCCACCACGTGTGGCCCCCTTCACAGCCCTGGGTGTGAGGGATGCACAGAACAGATAAATCTCAGCCCTGGTGGAGCTTACCTTTCAGTGGGGGAGACAGACAATAAGGAAGTAAGTATGTGATAAGTCAGGTGGAGCTGGAGAGAGGAAGCTGGGAAGAAGGAAATGTGTATGGGAGAGTTGGAGTCTTGTGCGGGGTGACTGGAGAGGACTCAAGGCGATAAAGGGCAAGCCATGCAGACATCTAGGAAAGCTTGGCCAGGAGGGGAGACCAACGGGAGCCAAGACAGGAGGCGGGGCCATGCCTGGTATGGGTGCAGAGTGAGTGGCGTGGAGGCCAGGGGTGGGAGTCAAGGCAGGGTAGTAAGTGGAGGAGGATGGACAGTGGGCAGGCCGCTTAAGAGCCTTGGACTCAGAGAGAGAGAGGCCCATGAACAGAGGAGACTCGTGTGGGCTTGGGCTTTACCAGAGCCGCTGTGGATGTTCTGCTGAGAATAGCCTGTGGGAATCCAGAGAGGGGAAGCAGGGAGACCAATCAGGTGGCCAACATGGCCTTCCAGGCACAGGGTTGAGGACAGAATGATGAACATGGGGTTGGGTGGTGAGAACCAGTCGGATTTCAGAGACAAGCGCTTCAACCGCAGAGCCCCTGGGATTTGCTGATGGAAAGGATGCAGTGTGCGAGAGAGCTGGGACTTATGTGGTCTGAGCATCGGGAAGGGTGGAGTTTCTGCAGCAGAAGGGCAGGAGAGGCACAGCTGGGTGGTGGTGGATGCAGCCAACCAGAGGTTCGCTGTCACCACATGGAGCTGTCGCACAGACAGACCGGCCTGGAGCACAGGGAATCCCGGGTTGGAGCATCAAGTTGAGGGCACCTACAGGTCATTTCAAGCCAGGAAACTGGCTGAGGTCACCCCAGGAGAGAGGACAGTTGGGGACAGGACCAAGGACAGAGCCCTGCAGGGGTGAGGAGGCTGAGGATGATGGAGACTCCACCTCCAGGACCTACTGAAGACGGAAGGGAGTGGTTCTCTGTGGTGCTGTGTGGTGAGTATGGAGGACCGACCATTTGGTTGTAGCCACTGGGAGGCCATTACTGACCTGGACAGAGCAGTGGCTACGGAATGGACTAGGATCACAGGTTTGCAGAGGGCTCTGGGGAGCTTGGCAGGAGAGGAGCTGGAGGCAGTGAACACCTACTTCTCTGTTGAGGAGAAGAGCAGGAAAATGGGGCTGCAGTCTTCTTTTTAAAATGTAGGTTTAGCCAGTCTGCCCAGGAAGGCACTTGAAAAACTGAGTTAAAGACCAGATCTCTTTTACGTGTTAACTTAAAAACCCCACAGTGTATAAATATGAAAAAACAGGAACTTTATTTCTTTTAGAGGGTTACAGTCGCAAGGTGGCCATCCCCCAGGCCAGGATGGGAGGCAGGCTGTTAGAAGGAGGAGGGTGTGGCAGGAGCTCGGGCTGGGCAGGTTAGCTAAACACACATCATCCACAGGCTCTAGGAGGAGCTGTGGATACGCATGAAGAGGGTCCTGACACGTGCGTATTACGTCACACAGGACCCAATCTCACTTTGGAGCGGGGAGACTCAACAGTTGAATATATTACGACTGTAATCCCAGCACTTTGGGAGGTCAAGGTGGCAGATCACCTGAGGTCAGGAGTTCGAGCTTAGCCTGGCCAGCATGGAGAAACCCCATCTCTACTAAAAACACAAAAAGTAGCCTGGCATGGTCACGCATGTCTGTAGTCCTAGCTACTCAGGAGGCTGAGGTGGGAGAATCGGTTGAACCTGGGAGGCAGAGGTTGCAATGAGTCGAGATCGCGCCATTACACTCCAGCCTGGACAACAGAGCAAGACTCTATCTCAAAAAAAAATTAATTATTTAAAAAATAAAGTAAAAAATAAAAATAAATAATTACTAGGCCCTGTACCTCAAGAGGTCTTTTCAGGACCGGAATGCATGCAGATGTGCAGCCTCTGTAGACTCACCAGAACTAGTCCAAGGTCAGTGGTCTCTTGCCAGGAGAAAGTTACAGTCTGTGTCCAGTGAAAGCTGTGGTTATGGCTGGTGGGGCAGGCCTGGGCTCACTTGGTGGCTGTGGAGCTGCAGTTGTTTAACATTGCGCATCTCGAGGCCAGCGCTTGCTTAGCTGCTGGAGGAGAACACGCGTCGGCAGTGAGAAGGTCCTTTACTCTGTAAGTGCAGGTTTGCGACTGCACCCTCCCCCTGCACGGCTGTAGGTCCTGTTTCTAATTTCTTACAGCTAGTGCTCGACTTACGACCACGGTCGGGACCGCAGACCAGTCGTAACACGATTCGGTCGTAAGTTGAGTAGGCTATATGTACAGTTGAAATGGTGCATGCGGAGATGGTAGTGCTGCCGGAAGCTGGTCCACACTGTCGTACGCCCAGCTGGGCAACGTTTGTGCTGCCAGACGCGGAGCAGTCGTGGCTAGCGATTGTGGTCGTAAAGTCGAATGGTCGTAAGTTGCATAGGTCGTAAGTCGATCAATACCTTCTGGACAAAGATACTGGACACCTTCTCTGGCTTCAAGGTGGACATCTGGTCGGCTGGGGTCACCCTCTACAACATCACCACGGGCCTGTACCCCTTCGAAGGGGACAGCACATACAAGTTGCTTGAGAACATCGGGAAGGGGAACTAGGCGATCCCAGGCGAATGTGGCCCCCCACTCTCCGACCTGCTGAAAGGGATGCTTGAGTATGAGCCGGCCAAGAGGTTCTCCCTACGGCAGATCCGGCAGCACAGCTGGTTCCGGAAGAAACACCCACCCGCTGAGGCGCCAGTGCCCACCCCGCCGAGCCCGGACACCAAGGACCGGTGGCGCAGCATGACCGTGGTGCCGTACCTGGAAGACCTGCACGGAGCCGACGAGGACGAGGACCTCTTTGATATCGAGGACGACACCATCTACACTCAGGACTTCACGGTGCCCGGACAGATCCCAGAAGAGGAGGCCAGTCGGAGCGGACAGAGCCGGGGCCTGCCCAGAGCCGTGTGCATGAACCTCACGGAGACGGCGCAGCTGAGCCCCAAATCCAAGGCGGAGGGCAGGGCCCCCGACCCCGCCCGCAAGGCCTGCTCCGCCAGCAGCAAGATCCGCCGGCTGTCGGCCTGCAAGCAGCAGTGAGGGTGGCCGACTGCAGTCCGTGTCCAGGTGCCCGCGCCAGGCCCTCCCCCCGGAGAGGCGACCGCCGCGCCCCCGGGCCGACCGCGCCCCAGGACCTCAGGGGCCCCTGCAGGGCCGGCGGGAGGACCGCAGGGCCCGGGCGCAGCGTGTCCGCCGCCCGCACCTGCTCGACTTGGCCCCGGGCGGGTGAGGGAGGCGGGAGGCGGCCCCGATGCACTTTGTTGCAGCCTGCCGGCCCCGCCGCGCCCGAGCTCCGCAGACCGGCGCCCTGGAGCCCAGCCTGCCCCGCCAAGCATGCAGCGCCGCCCGGGAGCCGCGGACGCCGCCTCGGTTTTGCTGTTTGCTTGGTTCCATTTTTCTTTCTTTTTTTTTTTAAAGAAAAAATAAAAGGTGGATTTGAAAAAAAAAAAAAAAAAAAAAAAGGTATCTTTGTAGTATCTTTGAAGACCTTGTATCTTACTGCCGCAGAGTCCGTTCTGTCAGTCTTACGGTCTCCAGCTTAACATTAACGCTGGTCTGTTGTGTCTAAACCATAAAAGGGAGGGGGCATCAGGAGGCCTGTCTAACCTCCCATCCCGCCATCATAGCCTCAGTTTTAAGGTTTTCCTGGGGTCCCCTTGGCCACAGCGGGGTTCATTCAGCCGGGATTGCGGGCGTAGGATTTTATTTTTATTTACGTATGTAATTCCTTTAATGTGTGTGAAATATGTCTTTTGAAGTGATGACAAGACAATCAGTTGTAGTTCAGAATGTATTTTCTGGTTAATAAGCTTCCATTAAATTGAACTGTAAACACCAGAGGTAGCCCGCAGAAGTAACATCTCCTTGAAACTGGTGAGCTGCCTCCCCTGTGTCCCACTGAGCACTAGCTGACCAGAAAGAGATTTTTAACCATTCTTTTTCAGATGCTAAAAACTTAAAATAGTTAGCTAAACCACAATTACTTTTGCACAACCTAGTAGTTCAATGAATTTCTGTTTGGATTCTAATTGGTGTTTGCAAGTTTCTGAGTATTGACAGCAATTGTGTATTTTAAAATTCTTTCTTAGATCTCGTAGCTGAATTGGAAATGCTGCTGTGTATGAGAATCTAGCCTGTTGTATTCATACAAGGGAGTACGATTCAGTAACAAACCGGACAGCAGGGGTGAGTCCCAGGAAGATTATGAGAATGAAAGGAGCCACACGCGGAGGTGTGCAGGCTGCATGCGCCCCTTTATTTTACTGCATGCTTAGTCTCGAGTGTCAACGTGGCGAGGGGATAGTATCCAGTTATGTCATCAAATCCAAGCCAAGCACTGCCACGAGGGGGTTCTGTAGACACGGGTAACATCCAGTCAGTTGACTTTGAGAAAAGGAGATTACCGTTGCTGATATGGGTGAGCCTCATCCAGTCAGTCAAAGGCCTTCGGCACAAATACCAAGGTTTCTTGGAGAACAAATCCTGCCTGCTGGCCTGCCCTGCCACCCTCTGCTTTTGGACTTGTCGGCCTTCACAATCGTGTGAGCGAGTCGGTGAAAATAAAGCTCATTCCATGCGCTGTTTCTCTGGAGAACTGAAGTTCTAAAGGAGGTGAAACTGCTCTGCAGTATTTAAGAAACAGCGTGGGGCAAGAGGGGCGGGGGGTTGACTGGAAAGAGCGGGAGGAGCTCCCTGGGGTGATGGACATGTCCCCGGCCTGTGGCAGCCGCGGTTACAGAGCATGCATGGCTGTCAAGCCTCACTGAACTAGACACTTAGAGTGGACCCGTTCTATTCTATGTGAATAATACCTCAATAAAATGGATTTTTAAAAAGCCTAACTTACCATAAGTTTTCTCCAAGCCTATGAAGAACTTTATTTCTTAAGAGTCTGAAAAAAAAATCACACTTGCCCCAAATACCTTTATTTTCAAATTTTTTAATTTATTTATTTATTTTTATTTATTTTTTTTTTTTTTTTTTTTTTTTTTTTTTTTTTTTTGAGATGGAGTCTTGCTCTGTCGCCCAGGCTGGAGTGCAGGGGCACGATCTCGGCTCACTGCAACCTCCACCTCCCAGGTTCAAGGGATTCTCCTGCCTCAGCCTCCTGAGTAGCTGGGATTACAGGTGTGTGCCACCATACCCGGCTAATTTTTATATTTTTAGTGGAGATGGGGTTTCACCATGTTCGCCAGGCTGGTCTCGAACTCCTGACTTCAAGTGATCCGTCTGCCTCAGCCTCCTGAAGTGCTGGGATTACAGGCATGAGCTATGGCATCGGCCTAAAATATTTTTGATTTATTTAGATTTCAACTACTAAATAGTATTCAAAAATACCAAATATGGATTATTTTCAAGTTCAGACTTAGTGGCAATCTCATGGTTACCATGGATGTAGCCTATGGGTAGGATGTGCAATCTTCCCGTGGAAAATCAACCACCTTGCGAAGCTTGCTGGAGTAGAAGGCACCCAGTCTGCCCGGCTGTGGGCTGGCTGGAGGGGCAGCGGCAGGAGGGCCTGCGTGGAAGGTGTGGATAGAGGCCGGGGGCTGGTTTGTGTGTCTGACTTTTGACACATGGCTGCCTCCTACTGCTGGAGCCAGCAAGGCATTAGACGTCTTTCCATCATTCTTTCTTCCTGTCGGAAAAGATCCGATCCTCATATTTTTGTCAAATGCTGAAGGAAGGGAAGAAAGATGGGAAGAAATGAAGGAACAGAGAAAAGGAAGGACGTATGAAGAGAGGGATGACCAAAAGGCTGTGACGAGACCCGCGCTGGGAACTGAGAAGGAAAACCCCACGTAACCTGCTCCTGTCTCCTGGGCCTTGCTTCTCTGGCGTGGGGCGTTTGTCTGTCCCCTCTCTTCCTCTGCACTCCTTCCTTGTTTCAAACAAAACATCTCTACATGCTGTATTGAATGTGGCAGAGAGAACATCAGGGATACAGGAACAAGAGAGATGTGTGCCTGTGTGTGGTCAGCAAAATAAAGCCCTCCAGATGTCCATGCCCCAATCCCCAGAAGCAACCTGTGGCCATGTCACATTGCATGGCAAAAGGGACTTTGCAGATGGGTTCAAAGTTCCGGGATTTGCCGATTATCACGGATCATCCTTGTGGGCCCAGTCTAATTGAGCATTTCAAAGCAGACACTTTCTCCGGCTGCAGTCAGACAGATGCAGCAGAAAGGAGAGTTAGCACGCGTCAGAGCGCAAGAGGGACCTGGCCTGCAGGTGCTGGAAGGGTGTGTGGAAGGCATGAGCAGGAATCTGGGCTGCCTCTGGGAGCCAAGTCCAGCCCCCGACTGAGAGCTGGCACCAGGATGAGAACCTGACCAAACAAACAGCATTCAGACAACTGACTGGCAGAGTCTGGAAGGAGATTCATTCCAAAAGCCTCCAGAAAGGGGTGCGGCCCTGCTGGCACCTTGATTTCAGGCTCCTGCGACCCTAAGCAGAAGACCAGCTAGGCAAACTGCCCGGATTTCTGACCCAAGGAACTGTGAGATAATAAATAGGTGTTGTTGTAAGCCATTAAGCTTGCGGTAACTTGTTATGGCAGCAAAAGAAAGCAGGTTCATGTGTGTACAGAAATACATGCGCTTTCATATCGTCACTGCTCTTGCCATTCCTGCTGTCTTCCAGCCTCAGTGTCTTGTTCAATCCCTGATTCACATTGACATGCTGACGCTGTAGCTGTGTGAGCAGTCGACTACTAATTGCCCCTGCTTTTATACAGCAGGGGCCACCCTCTGAGCAGCTGGCAGGTGCAGGTGTGAAGAGGGGTCGACCTGTGCTCTCAGCGGCACCATGGACATGCCCCAAGTGTCTAGAACAGCACTGAGCACTTCACAGGCACGTCATTTAGTGCTCATGAAGCTCTGTGGGCTGAGTGTTGCCATCCTGTTTTCTCGGATGATGAAACTGAGGCTTAGAGGGGTTAAATCACTTGCTTATGGCTTTACAATCACCGAGAATTGAAGCTCAGTCTAAGGTAAGTTCAAATCTTGAGGCTGGGGCTCTTAACCTTGAGTCTGGATGTCATAAAACATGGAGCAGTGCAGGGGCGTATACTGCACACTCCACCCTTCATGGTGGATTGGAGGGCCGGGCGCACAGGGGGCCTGAGCACTGGCTCTGCCTAGGAAGAACACCCTAATGCAGTGACTGAACCCGCTGGCCACCGCCTCCTGGGATCCTGCTGCACAAGGACAAGAGGATGCCTGTGGTGCGGGATTTCCACCCTGCTCTGTGGCTGACTCCTTCACTGGTGCTGCGGGAACACTAGGTCCTGTGCCGTGGCTGGAGCGGCCGCTCCTGACCCATCATCCTCGGCTTGCAGACTGGCCAGGGGCGCGCGTTGTGGGAACTCCCTAGCCCTTCCTCCCAATGGCCCTCTCTTTCCAGGATTTCCAGTCTTATTCTCCGTGTGTGGCTGCTGCAGGCTCTGCTCTCTCTCCAGGCTCCCATTCCCTTGAATTTCTCCAGGTTGCCCTTGGAGGAGCCTCCCAGCATTTTCTGCCAAGCCCTTCTCTCTGGTTCCCAGCTTCCCTCCACGACCAACCCACTGGGAAGGAACCCCACCTCCCTGGAGTTTGGTGTTCCTGTCCCCCATGTGGAAGGATAAGCCGAGAGTGCCTGGTAGCATGGCCTTGATGCTAACATTGCAAAGGCAGAGGCATGAGTTCCTGAGGTCCTTTCCCAGGTAGCTGGAGGGGACTGGATTTGTGGGGGACCAAACCCTGTCCCCTTTCCTTTCCCTGGACTCCTCCCTTCAGGTACAGCAGCTCCTGTTCTGGGCGTGGCCCTTCGCTTAGAACCAGGTATAAGACATACTCTCGAAGGCCTTCCTGTTCAGTTCAAGATAATGAGCTGGTGTAAGACAGAAAAATGTGGGAGGTCCCTTGCCCTGTGTGCCAGCTCCCGGCCCTGTGTCTCTGGGTTGGATGTCTGAGCACATGCCCAAGAGGACAGCTAGAGGGGCCTCGGAGGAGGAGCCAGCCTGCCAAAAGCAGCCCACCCTGCGGGACTGGGGATACTGGCACCTGTGGTGGCTGAATAAAGGCCCCTCAAGGATGTCCATGTCCTAATCTCTAGGACCTGTGACTGCGGCCTGTGAAACACAGGACTGAGCAGATGTGACTGATGAAGGCTCTTGAGACGGAGAGGATCCTGGGAGACCCGGTGGGCAGGTGGAGTCACAGGGTGGGCAGGAGGGCTGGAGAGGGAGGGGAGGCGACTCAGAACTGGAGGCTGGCGGGCTGGCCACGGCAGGGAGGCAGGCGGCCCCACGGTGGGAGAGGTGAGGGCTGGCTGCTCCCCTGGAGCCTCCAGCAGGCACCAGCCCCGATTTCAGCCCCTTGAGGCTACTTCGATTTTCTGCAGAATCATCCAAGAACATCTGTGCTGTCTTGAGCCACTGAACTTTGGTAACTAGCTAGAGCAGCTGGAGAGAGTGAACATGTGTCCCCAGGGAAGTTGGAGAATGTAGGGGCTGGGGACCCCACAGCCTCTTTAGGAGCCTTGAAGCAGTGGCCTCGGCAGGGGCCCCTGCCCCTCCTCAGGAAGGGGACACAGCTGCAGGGCACCAGGCTGCCCCATGGTGTCCCCGAGGGGCGTGGAGGAGCTTCTGCTCCCCTGTATGGGTGAGGACTGAACTCAGGGTGTCTGTGGGTGTCTGTGTGTGTCTGTGTCCACATGTTTCTCTGTTGGGGCATGTGCCTGTCTCTGTGAGTGTGTCTACTGTGTGTGTCTATATATCTCTCTGTGTGTGTGTCTCTCTGTATCTCTGTCTCTGTGTGTATCTCTGTGTGTCTCTATGTCTGTGTGTGTCTGTCTCTGTGTGTCTCTGTTTCTGTGTGTCTCTGTCTCTGCGTGTCTTTCTCTGTATGTGTCTCTGTGCATGTGTCTGTGTGCACATCTCTGTGTGTCTGTCTCTGTGTGTGTCTGTCTCTGCGTGTGTCTCTGTATGTGCCTGTCTCTGTGTCTTTGTCTCTGTGTGTGTGTCTCTGTGTGTGTCTGTGTCTGTGTGTATCTCTGTCTGTGTTTGTGTGTAACTGTGTCTCTGTCTCTATGTGTGTGTCTCTGTCTGTGTGTCTCTGTGTATGTGTGTGAGTGTGTAGGCCCTGAAGAGGTCTTGTGGTCACCCTGAGGGGCCCCCAGCAGAGGGTGAAGAAGGGTGTTGGCCGAGGGCTGGGACGGTACGTGTGGGTCTGAGAGATGCCGGCATGGCCGCCTGCTGACGGGGAGCCAGAGCCCTCCCCTGCGAGACACCGACAGAGGGAAAGAGGGACAGGGACCCTAAACCTGTGTGTTTATGCAGATCTGACAGGGCGTAGGCTGGACCCGAAGGTGGACCAGGTTGTAGAAGGGCGCCACGGTTGCCGCTGATGTTTGCGGCTGAGACAGGCGGGCACGCCTGCTTTGTTCAGTGGAGAGCTGCTTCGGTGCCTGCTCCCTGAGGCCTCCCAAGTGCCCTGGGCCCGTCAGGGAGCGCAGGAGTGATGCAGGGGCACAGTGACCCCAGGGATGGCTGCAGAAAGAATCGGAAAGACCTGCATGCCCCCCTCCTCCATGCACACATGAGCCTGCGGTACAATCATCCGACCACGAGAGACTTACTTACATGGCTTCAAACAAAGGGGAAGGCAGTGATGACTTCTGAGTGGATGGTACTTTTCCCATGAGGGAGGTGACAGGATCTTAGAGCATGTCTGGGATTTTAGGCAGACCGGGATGTTACTCCAGGCAAGGGAACCCGCGCGTGAACTCAGAGTTGTGAAGACACTAGTATGAATCTAGGGTAAAGGTTGTTGAGATGTTTTTTTTTTTTTCATCATTTTTTCTTTTAGTAAGGGCTTTTACTCAAAAGTGTAGCTTTGAAAATCTCTAGCTTGTTGTGAAAACCAGGAAAGCCAGGGAGCTGCCTCACACTGCACACCACCACGTGAAGCTGTGGGCCTCTGTGTGTTTGCAAACTCTCCATTACCAAGGCTGGAATCAAATGCACCCCTTTAAAATCAGAGCCAACATTTAAAATTAGGAGGATGATGCACGTCCTACTGTGATTCAAGGAGAAAGGACAAGTTCTTAATACAGTAAAACAAAACACAAAAGTAAACAAATCCTTAGAAATCACTAGATATATATATGTGTGTTTATATATATATTTTTATATAATTAGGATTATCATCAACATTTAAATGATTAAAAATAAGGTTGCCACCTTACCTTTTCTTTTCGTAATGGGGTGTTATTTTTTAAGGAGGAAAACCAAAGATTTTACCCAGACTCTGCAGTGTCCCAACTTCAATTCTGTTTTCTGCTGTGCAGTTCCCCACCTTGATGCTGAATACCCGAGTCCCGCCACCAGCTCTGGCTGGCAGGAGGCAGAGCAAGCTTTCATTCTGGTCGTCAAGATGACAGGCCACAAAAGCACAGCTGAGGGAGGAACTGAATTCTTCCCCAGGAAGAAAATACCTTTGCCCACAGTGGGGCTGCAGATCCACAGGCGCCTCTTCCCCGTTTCTTACTGTTTGTTAGCTCGTTTGTTTTGCCCAAAAGCAAGATGGCAATCTTAATCAAAAAGGGAAGCTAGATTTTTAAAATAACTTAAAAAAAACATTTTTATATAAAGCAGCAGAAACATTATCTTCCTCTCTGCAAAAAGAAGTATGTTAACAAGGAGACACAGCGATGTGAATGGGCCGTCCGTCAACTCCTGCCCCACTGGGTACCCCCGACCCAGCTTCACCTCGGCACTGCTCCGTCACCACGTCAGTGTTGTCTGAAGAAGACCCCGCGCCGGTGCTGTCTGAAGAAGACCCCGCGTCGGTGCTGTCTGAAGAAGACCCTTTGGCATCTGCAACTGCTCTTTGACTTCCCTCTTGATTGAGATTTTCCTTTTTGGACCTGGTCCCATGAGGGATAGAATTTTCACTGTTTACAAGCCCGTTTTCTGTGGCCTTTGCTTTGCTGATGGCCTCTCTGATGTTCAAGGCATCCTGCACTCCAGCCTCCTCCTCCAGATTTCACAAGACCATGGGGAGCCTCGAGTCCCCCACGCTGCTCTCCAACAGCCCAAGGTTACTCTCTTCATATCTGGGAAGCGGAGCCTTCTCCTCCGTCTGCTGGTGGTAGTATTCCCGGTTGACAGCGGCACTCCTTACTGCTTTTTCCAAAATCTCTTTCTCACCTAAGCACAATTTGATGGCCATTTTTGCATGAACAGAAAGATCCTGGTTTTTCAAGACGGATTTATCTTCCTCAATAGTTGTTCTATATGTTTTTAAAAGAAGCAAAGCTCCATCTTCAAGAAGTGTCCAAAGTTTGACCTCATTGTCCCAGCTAACAGGAAATTCAGAGTTCCCCACGGTGAAGATTCTATCAACAGCATTGTCTCCCAGCAGGTGTTCTTTCCATTCTTCTTCAGTCATGCAGAACACTCGGAGAAAAGCCAGAAGCTGAGAGAGATGGGCGGCTCCGAAAAATGCAACGCAAAAACACCGGAAGTGGGGATGCCGGCAGGTGCCGAGGCCTCAGTGTTCACGGCGTAGAGTCTGTCCCTTTTACTCACTCCAAGCTTTATTTTCACTGTCATGTGAGTTATTGTCAAAGAAAAAACCACTGTGGATCACAAACTCTGCATTTGATGGAGTGCCATAAAAGTTGTAAATCTGCTCTCCAGCCCGAAAATCCTGCAGAGCCCCACACACGACGGTCATCTTCCAGGTCGTAACCAGTGGTGATCAGGCCGTTGGTGTGGTTGCACATGTCCCATAAAGGGATCAGAGCCAGGGTCACCCGGGAACCGTCCTCGGTGGGAATTTGGTTTTGCCGTGTCATATCAGAAGAGACTGCCCACCTGTAGTCCTCAAAAGTGAAAGAATCCTTCAAGGGCAGTTTGTTGGCATGAAGATGGGTCTGGATGACCTTATAGAAGCAGGCATACTGCTGAGCTGTGTTTTTATACTGGCTGAAGACATCATGTATAGCTTGTGTGGACTGAAGATACCGAATCATCTTCTTCAAAGTAGAGAGGAGTGTCGTATTCACTGGGCAGGGTTTGAATGTAGGGCTGCCAGAAGGAGTTAGGGCTAGCTCGCTCACACAGCAAACGAAAGACCAGTGTGATGTTTCCCATGGCTTGAAGGATTCGGTCTTGAGAATATAAAGGCCCCAACGCTGAATTTTTAGCAGATTCAACAGTCATTAGTAATTTTCGTGGAACCCATAAGAACAATTCTTCAGCCTTGATATCTCTTGTTGCTCTCAAAGCAAAGCCCTCTTCTTTGAAGTTAACCATTTCAAAACCCTTGACAGAAGCCCCATTTTCAGAGGCCCATTTCATCAGATCAGGAAAGTAATCTTCTCTTTTTCCATCAAAAGTAACGGACAGACCTTTTTGCTTCTTCCGTATTTTCTCAACCAGAGTCCGGATCTGCACATACTCTTCCCACTCTTCTCCTGGGCCAGGTGCAGGACTGCTGCATTTCTGCAACAGTTCACTGGTCAGGTTTCCTTCAGTGACACAGTTGCCATAGCACCACTGCCGGATTTCTGAGTTTTTTTTTTTTTTTTTGAGACGGTGTTTTTCTCTTGTTACCCAGGCTGGAGTGCAATGGCGTGATCTCGGCTCACCACAACCTCCGCCTCTTGGGTTCAGGCAATTCTCCTGCCTCAGCCTCCTGAGTAGCTGGGATTACAGGCACGTGCCACCATGCCCAGCTAATTTTTTGTATTTTTTTAGTAGAGACGGGGTTTCACCATGTTGACCAGGATGGTCTCGATCTCTTGACCTCGTGATCCACCCGCCTCGGCCTCCCAAAGTGCTGGGATTACAGGCTTGAGCCACCGCGCCTGGCCGATTTCTGAGTTTTTACTCGACTCTTCTTACCCATGTTCTGACTGCCCGCTTCCCCTAGCGCAGAGGGAATGACGCACTCCGGCCTGGACCCTGCCGTCCGCCTCAACCAACCCCCAGGCGGTGGTGGCGGACCGGAGGGGCGGGATGGCAGCCTGAGACGGCCTTGCCGCCGTGGCCCAACCCCCGTTGAGATGGTTTAAACCAAGACAGTACCCTAATTGCTTTTAATTTTTCAATGAATTATTTTTATTTTGTTTTAGAGACAGAGTTTTGCTCTGTCACCCAGGCTGAAGTGTGGTGGCACAATCATAGCTTCTTGCAGCCTTGAACTCCTGGCCTGAAGTGATCATCCTGCCTCAGCCTCCCAAGTAGCTGGGACTACAGGCGCGTGCCACCACGTCTAGCTAATTTTTGTATTTTTAGCAGAGATGGAGTTTCACGGTGTTGGCCAGGCTGATCTTGAGCTCCTGGCCTCAAGAGATCCGCCTGCCTTGGTCTTCCAAAGTGCTGGGATTACCGCGCCCAGCCTGTTGTTTTGATTTTCAATTACTTAATGATGTATGATGTTCAGTATCTTTTCATATGTTTATTTGCCATGTGTATATCTTCATTTATAAGATTCAGATCTTTTTTCCATTTTAAAATTGGACTGTTTGTGTTCTCATGGTTACATTTTAAGAGTTCTTTGTATGTTTTGGATGCAATATTTTATAAGGTATGTGTTTTGCAAGTTTTTCCCCAGTATGTGACTTTTCTTTTCATTCTTTTCTTTGAGTCGGAGTCTTGCTCTGTCACCCAGGCTGGAGTATAGTGGCATAATCGTGGCTCACTGCAACCTCTGCCTCCTGACTCAGCCTCCTGAGTAGCTGGGATTATAGGCGCGTGCCACCATGCCCAGCTAATTTTTTGTATTTTTAGTAGACATAGGGTTTCACCATGTTCACCAGGATGGCCTCTATCTCTGACCTTGTGATGCACCTGCCTTGGCCTCCCAAAGTGCTGGGATTACAGGCATGAGCCACTGCGCCCGGCCTTCATTCTCTTAACACTATCTTTCTTAGAGCAGAAATATTTAATTTTAATGAAGTACAACTTGTCATATTTTTCTTTTATGGATTATGCTTTTGGTGTTATATCTAAAACTCACCTCCAAACCAAAAGTCACTAAAATATTCTTCTGTATAATCGTGGGGGAGATTTCCAGTTTTGCATTTACATATAGGTCTGTGATCTATTTTACACGTATCGTAGCTAAAGGCCAAGGAGCAGTTAGATCTGTGATCCTATTTATTTATTTATTTTGAAGACAGAGTCTGGCTCTGTTGCCCAGGCTGGAGAGCAGTGGCACAATCTCTGCTCATTGCAACCTCTGCCTCTGGGGCTCAAGTGATTCTTGTGTTACATCCTCCCCAGTAGCTGGGATTACAGGTGTGTGCCACCACACCCGGCTAATTTTTCTCTTGTTAGTAGAAACGGGTTTCACCAAGTTGCCCAGGCTGGGCTTAAATTCCTGCCCTCAAGTGATCTGCCCTCCTCAGCCTTCTAAAGTGCTGGGATTACAGGCGTGAGCCATGGCACCCAGACTGAGGTTTTTTTTTTTTTTTTTTTTTTTTAAGAAATAATTCACAGGTGGGTATAACTTCATTTCAAAAATAAAAATACTAGATTCATGATATTCCAAAATACGGTTTTGTTCTCTAGATTATAAAAATCAGGGCAGCTCTAAGGTACTTGGGAGCCCAAATGTCAGCAGAAGCATAGAATGGAAGGCACATGTGTCTGGTAATTTCCCTCCACTAGGAGCCTATTTGAATTTAAATTATTCACAATAAATGTCAAGTCTTCCCCCATTTATCTGAGTAACTTAAAAGTTCTGTACGTTGAAAAAAGATCTTTGTACATCAAAGCCTCCTTAGCAATGTGAATGTTCTCACCTTCTCGTGGGAGGAAGTGTCAAGTTGATTGATAAGATGACTTTCTGCTTGCTCTAGAAAGGAAGGCTCCTCGGCTCCCAGAGACCCAAGATGTGCCTTTGTCTCTTCCCTTCTCCTTCAGCAGCTCAGATCCGCCTTCTCCCAGGGAAACCAACATGGCGCTTAGCGCTTTGCTCTCTACCCAACTGGGTCACCTCCTGAGAAGTGCCACCAGCGGGGCAGTACACCATTAAGTGGGGTGACTCATCCTCAGGGGCCCGTTACTGGGTCTTCCGTCAATACAGTCAAACAAAGGCATTATAAAACCAACTGAAAACAAGGGATTCTAGAATGTGCCCTCTCCAACTTCACCCATGCGTGCTGGTTCAGGGAGCACTTCAAGTGCTCCGAGCTCTAGAAATAAGTCTCCGTGGGTGTCTGTGAGCCTGAGGGTGTAAGACCAAGACCCTGGCTCCTTGGAATCACAGTGGATGGGAGTACAATCGGAGAGGCATCGGCCCAGGCGGCCCACCAGTGGCAGGGTGGACAGAGAGCTGAGTGGAGCTGGGGCAGGGCCCCCACCCCCTCGGCCAGGCGGGGCTGGAGCACTGGGATTCTGAGTCACGGTGTTCCCAGCCCGGCTGTAACCCGAGGACCCTGCGAGCATCTTCAGCCTCTCTGATAAGTCACAGTTCTTGCTCTGCCGACCTGCCTGCCATGAAGAGTTATGAGGTCAAAAGAAAACAAATGAAAGCTCTTGGAACACGGTGACCTGCTCTTGCTGTGAATCTTTGCAGAGCTGGGAAATCGCTTTCTGGGCCCAGCTCTTACTGTCAAGGTGCCGACAACCCGACAACCCGAGACACACCGCGGTCCTGCGATCCTGCTCCGACCCCAGACCTGCAGACCCCCACCCTG